TTTCTCGTAACCAAATGTTCCATAAAAGAAAGTTCATGTATTTATATTTAGTAGTTATGTAATTTCCTTCTTTATTAAGATCTTGGGTGTCATTTATACCCTAATTTCTAGTTTTTCCACGTGCGTGTGTATTCGCTTCATCGCGAGTGCTTGTGACCTTACCAAAGCAAACTGCATGCCATTTAAAATAGCAATTCTAGAAGGTTCTTTTGTTTCCAGAGCTTAACTAAACTTCATCTTGGAGAAATGTTTTTTAAATAAATATAATGTGAATGTAAGTAGACACCGAAAGCGTGCCGCATATTTACCTAAAAGCCATAATTTTCTAAATTACCTCCTAAAATGAATACTTTTGGGCTTTTCTCCGGAAATCTTTTGACCTTTTATGAGGTAACACTATAATATCGTAATTTGATTTCTATCGTCATAAAGGATTATATTTGACAGGGTTTTATGATTTCATAATTTGCACAAAGAGTGAATTTTCCAATCATAAAATAATATTACAAAATAGTTTTGATATGACGCCATTTTATTTAGCGTGTTCTTTGTATGTGAAGCACTCAAGAAATACCTTTTTCATTGTTGTAAGTAAACGAATACACATATTCGCGGATTTACAATAAGAACCGTGAGGAATTTATATTCGACGACGGATCGAAAAATATTTAGGCTTCAGTCTTCGACTTCAGTGAAAACAGCTTCAGCTGAAACCGCAATCTAAACTTATTCAAAGATGTCAGCGCAGGCGTAAATTATTCAAATTATTCTCAAGTTTCATATAATAGGATTGCCTGCATATTTGTTGTATTTATGTAGGATTTACTTTGATATATTGGGTATTCATGAAGACCACCTAGACTTCTAAAACCAGTATTATTATTCAAGTTTCACACCAACAATAAGTACAATAGGATTTCCATATTTTACTACGTATCAGTATTCAATATAGCTGTTTTACACTAGCGAAAAATTATATTTTCCCTTATCGCCCAAGGTAAATACAGTTCTAAATTGAATTAGTCCACATTTAACGTTTTTTTTAGTCAGGCCAATGTCTGGTACACTTTCTAGATAAATTTTACTAAAAATTATATGCCCTGATCCCCAAAACAACATAAACAATGTATAATTCAATTCGATGTCAACGGTGCGCTTTTATTATTGATAAAAGTTGATTCCCATCAGTGTATGTGTGTCATAAGACAAAGAAATGAATAATCAGATCCCCATAGATAAATTTTCACTTCTGCGAATGCCAATTTTTTTTTTTCTTTACAGAAAACTAAATAAAACAACAGATAGTCAACCCGTTACGTCCAGAAACCAGGTCCATATCGGGTTACCCGCCCCAATTCAAACATATTTACAACGACAAGACTTTCCCACAGAAGTTCGCGGATAACAGCAATATGACACCTTCAACTTCCCAACTATGACGTAATAAATATGGCAGCTAACTGACAATTTTGTCGTCAAATACAACAACAGTGTTTGCTATGGTTGACGAGGAGTTGCACGGCTAAAGTGACAATTTCTCCGATGCGTGGTGAAGCATTTAAAGCTAGAATAGGGCATAAAACCACAAAATCAAATTGAAGAGGGTTGTTCATATAGTGTGCGTGACCGCGACATTTTAAACGTAATGTAAGCGGACTATACTTCTACCATTTTGTTGGCAGCACTAGTATAATCTCAACACAAACTTATTTTGCAACGTTTCGTCTGGGGTATTGCAGAAATATATTTGTGTTAGTGTGCAGACTGATTAATCAAAAAGACTAGTCACCGTTATTCTTCCTATACTACGTCCTTGCATTATACGCATATGAATTTACAAGTGCGAACGCATAAAGGAAGGATAGGTAGTTAGTCTCGCGTAACCCAACTGATAGGTATATACCAGAAAGATATATCTAACTTTGATGGCAATTTACCTATTAACCGTCTGACACACTTCAAAACATAGGAAACCACACTTCATAACAATAACATTGGTAACGATTTTGCCGTTAGTATTTAACGAAAGACTTCAAATTCAGCCCCTGAATACTTTTACTTTTAATTTCAAAAATCGTAGAAATCCGATTTCACTGGTTGGTATTACAAGTGCCGATATATCTATACGGTCAAACATCATACTGGGTGATGGTCTTATTCTGAATTGCTCTAAGATTTATTTTTGTCACACACCATAGTTCAATGTTTGGGAGCTTCAAGTTTCCCCAACAAGACATCATGGGCTTGGTTTTCTTTTTCATAATCCTGCTCAACCACACAATTGCATTGCATTCTAATTGACTAGACTAGACACTAGAGACTGAGTTTTCGATGTGCGGTGATTAAAATGTGTAAACATTATAGCAATAAATGTCAGTATACCTAGGTAAGCTATCTTTCCTATCCGATACATGGTCATCAAAGCACGAATTCAAACGAAAAGAACCTGCACCGCACCGTTTCCGTTGGTTTTACGGTCTAACTGTAATTGGATTTAAGTTTCATTTTGGGAGGTTTTCTAACAAAATCTGAAGGATTATATTACTATGAAAACAGGAAGAGAATCCGTGATCAAGAAAGCAGACGACGTTTCATGTCAGAATAAAATAACCTTGTGGTAGTGGCAAAGCTAAACTCTTGATAGAAAAGCATTGCGCGGTTTCGCTGAGCTGACATGAATGTTTTTTTTGTTTTGAAGTCTTACCAATTTCAATTAAAATTTGTAACTCAAGTATGAATATAATAATCAATAGTTTTATAAGTTTAAAGTTTGGATACATTCCCCTTCGATTTGCACCTCTACAATTCTATAAAGATGTTACAGTCTTTTTAAAATGATGGAAATATATATATGGCATTAACAAAATAGGGCCACATTCTGTTCATATGCTTGTGTAAGTTCAACAGAGTCGTAAATGAATTAAAAAGCCGCATGAGAACCTCCGGCAGGTTTCACGGTTCTATTGTAATTGGTTTGGGGTTGCAACTTGAGATGATACTCTGACAAACTAGCTCATAATCTTCGGTCCACAAAGGGAAAGTGGTTCGTAATGTAAACATATCCTAGTGTTAAAAACAAAATGAGGTTTCAATGAATACTTAAAACAAGAAAAACATACGATTGTTTTTATCTGGTTGGAAAACTCTCCTATTTGCAGTCGCTACCAATACAGTCGTTTAAAGTTTTTTTTTTTTAATAGCTTCCGTTATGTAGAATGCGCGATATCTCATAGTAGTTTTCCTAATTAAATTGAATTGAACCGTTCGGGTCAATCCAACACGATTCTATATAGTTTCGTAACTTTAATTAAAGATCAGTTTTCATTACTTTCGGGTGACAGCCCACGATTTTGTTATGAGCAAATTCCTTTGAAAATTTAATACGAGGAACACTGAAATGTCAAGAGCTGCTGAAATATATAGAATCGTGTTTGATTGACCCGAACAGTTCAAGTCAATTAGGAAAACTACTACGAGATATTACGCATTCTGCATAACGGTGGCTATTGAAAAAACTTTCGTCATGAAAGTTGGGCACCCTGGCAGGTAAAGGCTGTATTGGTGGTGGCTGCAAATAGGAGAGTTTTCCAAGCATAATAAATAACCAAATGTCGTTCTAGTTGAAAGTTTTTCAAGTCTAGTATTACTATCCACTCCTTTCAATCACTCTTATGAGTAATGAACACACCTTGAGCATTTGTATATTTAGTGATAATTTCATCTTCCAATGTAAACTTATATTGTTTTTCATCCAAAGTCGCGCCCTAGTATCTGTGTATTTAGTCGTTAAAATGACATTAAGATATTATTGGGTTGGCCTTGTGTCAGTTGTGTGCATTGTATCGTAAAACCCTTCAAAGTGTGAAAAAAAACGCATCGATCAAGACGCCATTCGATTATTGGTGGTCGACTATTAATGGGGTTTTATATACAAGAGATAAATGAATGGCGAGCTCTGTTTGATTTCATCAAAATTCCAACTTGCTTTTATAGTTTGTAAACTTAAAATTCTCCTTTTCGCTCATTCGTAACTACGACTTCCTTGAATGTTTGCTACCGAATTGGAAAGCGATTTTGGTTTAAAATAAGTATAGTTAATTCGTGATAGATGTTAACAACTTGTCTTGTCAAACTATTCCGCTAAAACAAATACACACAATTCGTCTTGGTGGGAATACTAACACCCATAACAAACCACACCAACGTCATTCAAGCAATTCATCAACTCCCTGATTCTACTTTTAGATCAAATATTTCGACCGCTACCGCAAACCTGGAATTCCTACGTATAAGGAAACCACAGTCAAGGCTAAATTTTAGATTTAGATATAGATATTATTTCGATTTCATTAAAACTATTGACTATTTCATTAAAATTATGACATGACACTATATGGGTATAGTTGTGTTGGATAAATCACTCTTTCTAATGTCTTTATCTTTAGTCCACCACAACCCAAAATAACATCTCTTTTAAAGCAAAGGAAAAGTAATCTAATTTCTGGTGTGGTTGTAAATATGTCTATTCAAATAGTCCTCATCTTTGCACATCTAACCTAAATTTGAAATAATAATCCACAATTTATATACAAAACAGTATAGAAATCTGAACAACCTGACAAGTAAAACTAATAGAAATAGATATATTGCCCGTATTGGAAAGATATTTACATGGTGCTTGTTGCTTTTACACAAGCGGCTTCAAATTCAAATTTGTGGCATAGGTACTGAATTTGAAAAATAAAAATGTGCTAAAACTTGCAAGATGATGCTGTAATAATGCAAAAGGATTGTGTGACACTATATATATATATTGTTGTATGTGATTAACTCTTCAACTCTAGCCAACGACAACCGACATATGATCTTTAGTTTTGCACATATAAATATAGATAAGTAGATACCGCGAATATGGATTTTACCTGTGGTAATCGCAACTGATAAGCAAGAATAATAGAAATATAACCATTATTCTAATAAATAAAATGAATAGTAGGTACCTTGTTCGTTCCATCTGACAAAGAGAATGCAAAGACGTCGCTGAGGTGATGTTGTTCATCGCTTGTATGCGTGTATTGTACCTTTCCTTTGTTCACGTCGCTTTGCGTGAAGGAACGAATCCGGTGGCCTGTAATAATTATTGTCAATGAGAATTTTGTATATTTGCAAGAACGCTACAAAAATATTATAAAAAGATTGTATTATGTTTCGTATTATTTGTATGTGCATTCAATGTTAGTAAATGCAAAATTAGTGTCCTATCTTGCTTGTAGAGGGCGAGGACATGCTCTGGTATTTCATACCTTGTGTGAATTAATAAATCTTTTCGCTACATAACACTTGAAATTTTTATTTTGAGCATATTGTATTCAAGTATATTCGTTCTCATATGCACAAACGTTATAGAAACATCGCATTTTGGAAAATTGTATGAATTTAACATCTTCGCGACCTCCAGTCAATTGCAATGAAATCCGTTACTGTAACGCATAATTACTTCTTCCTATTTTGAATTTGTGTTGTGATTTCTTGCACGACGAAATAAACTTATTGTCTATTGTCTATAAATATATTTAATTCAATCCAAAGCACGTATATAACAGAGTAGGGACAGATTAGAACGAAACCCGCGCTGTTCAAGTCGATAAATATGCAAATAAATAGCAAGAAATTTGCAACAGATATGCTTGTTTTTCAATATAAATTGTCTATGTAATCGATAGTTTGTTAGTTTGTTACCTGGTCTGTTGACGAATTCGACTCTCCCAAGCTTTGGTTCCTTAGTGATTGTGTACAAAAGTTGAGTAGGTCCAACATCATCGCTGGCAGAAAGCTTCTCTGATGTGATTTTCTGCGATGAACCCTCTTGGACCGCAATCCCTGGATAAAGAATTGAAAGTTATATTTTGTATTCCTGGATGTAACATTAACTGTATGATTCAGACTTGGAGTAGTATATGATCAGTATTAGATGTAAGTGCATCGTTGGTCCACTGCCATTTCCATCCTATGTGAAAACAGCTTCACAACTTCATTTCACAACAAGCACTATTCCTGCTGGTGAAGAAAACTGGTTGTACAAAATGTTTGCTTCCTTCTCAGTGACCGCCTTACATACGTATACCAAATTAATGGAGTCCCAGTTTCAATATGCCTCCAACAATTATAGCATTAAATTCGACCAGATTCTACGCGACATATAGAAATGTGGACTATATAGAATATAGATATTGGACAATATATAAACTATATCATACCGTCATTTATTCTAATCACTGGCGGTCTCCTATCTTCTTTGACAAGAATGTTGAATGTCTGTTCTGGCAAAGTACTTCCAGATGCTCCAACGACATTGAAGCGGAAATTGAAATTCCCTCCTTGTTCTTCTTCTGGGTGAACATAACGGAGCATTCCTGAAAACAGAAAATTGTAAATTAGAAGTTTTTTTTGCTCCAACACTGGCTAATGGCATAGCTCCTAAAGATTGAGTTCTTTTTATTCATTCGAACTTTGGAATCACATGCTTTTTTTCCAAGTTGCTTTATTACATGAAAAGTTTATTTGGCATCGCAATATATCATTCAACCTAAATTACCAAGAATTAAGTAGCAAATATGCAAAATTATGTTTAGGGGAATAGGCAGAGCATATAGGCGACCAATGGCGTCACTAACTTTAAACTGAATTTGCCAACGCACCAAAATTGCAAATAAACTCTGAGAAATTGAAATACAATAATTGAAAAATTCCCATTAAAAGTTGTGATTACTCCCTTTACCCAGAATTTTATAAAAGATATGCACAATTAAGTGACGTCAATGACTTTAAATGAATTTTGCTAACGCACCAAATAGTTAAAATGCTTGTATGGCTCCCTCTTGACCACTCATTCAAAGGTATACTAAAAATTATATTGCGGTAGCGATAAAAAACAACAGACTTATACCTTCATCAATGTCCTGCTGATAAAATTCACTTTCTCCGCTTGACGTAACGTTGATTAGGAATTGTGATTTATGCAGTTGAAGAAATCCAACAGTTGGTCCACGGACAACAACATAACGTGGCGAATTGTCAAGGCTTCCTTTATCTGATGCTTGCAAGTTAGTACGAGTAATCACTGTCGTAGTGCCTAGCAATAAAGATGAGAATGTTAGCAAAACTAAATTGGATTGGTATAATTGCAATTAGGAGCTTCGCTATGCGCAAAGTGTGTTTCTGGAACGATAGAAACACTGCAAATATAAGCTTCAGAAAAACAAGAGGGCGATGCTCAAATATTCAAGCGTTTGTCGCGTATTTTTTCAGGTACGACAATAGCACCGCGTTTGCTGAATTGGTTTGCGATCGCAAGAATGACAAAATGAATTATATTAGGGTCGGCATATTCGTTTAGGTCAACAAACGAGGGTCGGCCACCAGTCCATGTACCAGCGGGTACATGAAGCACCCTAAGACGGCAAGGAGATGAGAAATTCGCCATACCTTTCTCCACGGTGATTCCAGTATTTGCTTCAACCTCTGGCACAACCAATGTCTTATGCAGCATCACTTCTTCTTCGATCACGTTTTCATGGAATTCAGACTCAGCATCACTCGTATCAAAATCGTTGTAGTCTGTTGTTGATGTTAGCGCAGCGGTGTCGTCGGGCTCAACCTGGTAAAAACATTTTAGAATGAGAATTTTGCTTGCGCGATAGTGAATGTATTGGTTAGTTAGTTTAAACATTATAGAGAAGTCCAATACCCTTACCAAGCCCATCACTTTAGTTTGTCACTGCTTATGCAGAACCTTGTTTGGAGAGGAAGTGTAAAATACCCCCTTAAATACCAATCGCTAACTAATCATTACTAATCACTAAAGTGTCAACTGACTGAACAGCTAGATCCCGAATCCTAACCATTGTCAGTCCAAGTCCAACCTCGCTGCTCAATCCTAACCACTTTATCCTGATAACAGGAAAAATAAAAAAAATAAAAATGGTGGCTAGTCGGCAATGCGCTAACCAAATAATGGACTACGAAGATCAGATCAAGGGCCAGTCATATCAATACTCGACATTCGCCAATCAACAAGCTACAGTTGTTACAAACTGACCTGCCAGCGTTTCTTCCTAAGTTCAATTTACTGCTCGCTAGAGTAAGTAGAGCAATTAATATAAAAATCTAAATTTAACTTAAAGTTCTTACATCAATATTGATGCTCCCCGGAGTCTCGTAATGTCCATCACTGAGAACAAAGCCAAGAGTATCTCTTCTGCGTCTGTGCACTGTTAACGCATGAGATGCGTATCCTTCACTTTCAAAGCAAATAAGTTGGTCAAGAACGTCCTGGAAACATGAAATACGATATGATTAGAAATATCCAAGCAGTGAAAGGTCATATTTGGGCATAAATTTGTAATTTTTCATCAATAAAATGCCCGTCGCATCACCCAGGGTGTAATAAATTGGGTAGGCAATGCTGAACTGAAAAGATCACGGTGATTCAAAAGAACAGTAGCTCCTTGCATATCGTATGATATTAGTGACGCCGCTTATACAGGGCCTTGTTGGGAGCGAAATTCGTGAATAAGCGGCCCATTTTTAATATATTTTGGCTGGTTAATAAGATTATGGAATAGTTGAAAATTGCAAAAGCTTTTGTAGATATTATTGAGAAAATAACGAATTTACGCTTGATCATGTACATATATATACATCTGAAAACAAATCATTTAACTTCGTTATAAGCTTAAAATTTAAGATTTACGTCAATGAAAAATGCTAGTAAAAAATCCTATGAGAATCTGAATGTTTTCTATTCCCTATAGGATTTTATCGAGATTGAAGGTTTTGCCAAATAGTCGATTTGATGCTCTAATTCTTTCCAACAATAAATGAGATTAGGAGGTAATAACAAATTATTTCCCATATTCGCAAATGAACACTCGATATACTATCAAATACAGGATTAACTACGCATCATTCGTCTATGCGTTATCATTATACTCTTTTCGTTGTGTTGCAAAAAAATGATATATTAGGCCAGATAGTTTTTTGTGTTAGTCTTTAATCAACCGCCCCAATGAAGACAACTAGTAATGAACTTAATGATTATTGAGTACGTGGGTACCTGGTAGGTGAATGTGGATCCGACTCTTAGTTTCATCAACTTCTTCTCTTCCATCATGTCTAGCTGGAGAGCGCCTGTAAAATATAAGCTCAGTATAAAATATGCTAATGGGTTGTAAAGTTTTTTGGTGACTTATACATGTTATGTTTCGTCCCAGCCCCGTAGATTTTATGAATATTACTTCATAGGCTCACTCCAATCATTTCCCCCATGTTTGATAAATATGTGTAAACCATGACAGTGTGGGAAAGAATACAACAACAGTTTTTTTTCTTCTGTTATCGGAGTCAGCGGAGATAGTGGTTTTAAATTCACTTAAGACCGAGTTCGAATATTGAATTCTGCGCGAATGGCAAAGTTGTCGCAATTGCAAAATTGAAATCCAGAGTCCTGGTCGAATATTTGGGTCTCATGTAGTTTCGTACCTAACATACTTCTAGTGGGTATAGCATATCAATTTTTTCACGTGTTAATCCTAACACCCACCTGACTACGTACGCCATCCAAAAATTACGTCACTACGACGTCACAGTGACGTAATAGATCCCTTCAAACTATACGAACTACCATCCAAGACGCGCAGACGAGCACCCGGAACCATATCAAAAAAATGTAATGCTACGCCCACTAGAAGTATGTTAGGTACGAAACTACACAAGACTCAAATATTTTAGATACCTTCCCCAGAGTAGTCAAAATTTATCTAAACTGCTGCATGATTCGGTATTTTTGTGTGACAAGTTTGATTATCAAACATTTACAGCCAAAGAATTGACGCGTAAACAGGATAGAAGATCCATAGTATACAAACAGTGCAATGCTTACCATTTCCCATCATCTTTAGTTTATTCATCATGTCATGTGGCATCTTTTCTGAAAACTTTACAAGGTATCCATGGCGTGGTAATGACGTCACAGTGAAAACCAATTCGTTTGTGGGAGTGTCTTCGTCATGCACGAGCAATGATGCGTTGAGAATCATTGTTGCGTGACCATTTTTGCAGATTAAAGTGTTCGTCTTGACAGAAGGTTCTTCGTCGTTAGTAGGCTGGAGATAGAAACAAAATAATATTAATGACCAACTTAAGAGTAAATACAGATAACGCCGCTTGCTAACTGAATTTAACTCTGTCTTATGATTTATAATTGTACTAAACAATAAACAACAAGAAACAATGAAAAATCGCACATTAAGATTATTTTCTAATATACTGTAGTCATAAGGCTGATAATCTTCCAGAGTCTAAAGGTGATTCAATAATGAATTGTTGCCCTTCAAGGGCATCGACATTTCATCAAAATGTTATGCTTTAATATTGAGTGATAAGCGGTTCAAATTTGGAAGCAAATGGCGTGGTCTAATATTTGTCAAAACTCGGATCTCAGTGAGTAAGTAAAGTAATTTTCACACCAAAAGGTTTGTGGCCGAAATACCGGTTTTCAGACAATAAGTTTCAATTTTTGCACAGGCATTGCAAAATATACTTCAGCGAGGAAGGTTTGAGGCACAGCCCAGTATCCGAGGTTAAATAATTTAAAATATGGAAAGAATATCCAGTAGCGTAAATTTCCAGGGGTTTTGTGAGACACAACACTCCCGACTGGGGCGCAGGAGTTTTAGCAGGCTTGAAGTCGGGCCACTCTAAATCAAACTAAAAAAATTGCCAAATAAATTTACTCTTACCGTTATAGTAATATTCATTCTATAATTCGGTGAAACGTTGTGGCCATCAGAGACCGTGAACTTGAAGAAATCTTTCTTTGGTTCTGAGTGTCGGTGCAGACTCTGAACATAATATATTGCTCCATCGAGGACGTCTTGCATGCTGAACCAAACTTCTTCTTCGTCAGCGTTTAAGACGTCTGTGAAAATTTATATCAGACTAATCATTAATTGGAACTTTTTGCGTCATATTAACTATAATAACAAAAGAAGAGTCAACTCCACCAGAAACTACAGATATTCATAACTTGATTTCTATAACGATTCCTCTGACCAAGTTTTTTATGAAAGTTTCATAAAAAATATTTTTTTTAAAGTCAGTCTATGGAATATAAATTAAATTTGCAAAAGTGTATTGAAAGACTTTTCTATTGCTATAGTGTTTTGATACCCAATGCACACGGATCCACTAAAACAAAGACAAATCAATTAAGGAGCCATATTTATACAACGCCACAATCAAGGCTTAAAATTAAGATAATTGTTTGTCAAAGAAAAATTGAATTCCTTGAAAATTTTTGTCCATTTTAATTGGTTACATTATTCAATACGCGATATGTACCAGTAATCTCAAGAAGTAACTGTGCTCATAGATGAGTCTTGTTCACTTCTACGTGAGCGCGCGTACTATGCCATGCTTTGAGCAAATTTTCTTACTAAAAATAGTCGCTAACCTGTTCTCAATGTGTTCAAGAAATATCCAACCCTTGGTTTTGTTGTGACCGTGATCTTCAAATCCTTCTTCGGAGTATCCGCATCTGTTGCAATCACGTCACGTGGTGTTATGAGGACACTTCCGCCTTCTTCGACCTAACAAAATTAATAGATTAAATTATGATATGATTATGGGAATGGTAATTTTGTACTCTCAGTTCGGAGAAATTTCGTCTTCAAAGGATATGAATTCCGCCAGTTAATCAGTGATTACGAAACCAACTCTTATTTGCAACAATGGTTAGGCATGTAGACAATTAGGACACATATGAGTTTTTGTCAACTGATGCATAGTTATATTCCTCTGATTGGATAGACGTCGCCGTCAAGTTAAACTAAACTAATTCCGGATACATCAGGGAAACAGTTGGACGTATGTAGATGCATGACAAGCGAAGGAGTTCTTGAGGACATAGAACTTTCCCCATCGTAATATTTTCTATCATTTTGATAAACATTACCACAATACACTAAACAAAACCTATAAGATAAGACTTGTACTGTTTGACGTCGAAATCTAATTTATAAATCACCTGAATTCCTGTTCCAACAGTGACCACTGGCGGTTGGCTATCTGCGGGAGTGATTGTGATTGTTAACAACTGATTCGATAGCTTGTTGCCTGATCTATCCGTCACACTGAAGTGGAGTTCGTCGGTGAGTGGTTTGGCACCAGCTGTCACAGAGCTGCGGTATCTAGAAAGAAAAAAAGACTGGTTAAAATCAGCAATATGCCACTACATGCATATGCAGCTGTCACAGAGCTATGATATCTGGAAAGAAAAGAATACGTATCATGGTTTGGAAACGATTTGATCTGATTTATTTCCCCAATTTGATCACCCTTTATTGGGCAATCGGCATTGTTTCAAAACTCTCGTTTTCTTAATTTTGTGTACCGCAATTTAATGCATCACCCCCAACACTCCATCTAACAAGAGAAATCGGCCGACTATAACAGGTTTTTTAGTCCCACATGCATGCATGTATGTTCACATATCCCAGGTACCCCCTATCAAAGATCGTTTGTACCCATGGAAATCGCAACGGAGCGATCAATTAAAACTTATTTGTTGCTGCTTACTTGATATGTCCAATATTGATGTCCGCTTGGCTGAAGGTGTCACCCGATACAATATCGCCCAGCACTTCACTGTCAAGTATTCCGTGTAGAAGTTCAGATTCAACGTGGTAGATAATCTATTTAATTTAATGCGCACATTATAAATTAAGAAGTTATAAACAAAATGTCGTCGACAATATAAAATAAAACTTTAGACAAAATACACATTACTATTAGAACAAATTATACCATTCAACTTTTTGAAAATTCTTAAACAAAATTTATTTAACTTAGGAACATTGACTAAGAGGGGAATTTCAAATAAAAACTCATGAATATACACAGATAACGTAATCGGTGCGACATAACAACAATAATCACTTCAACAATACCAAAAATTAAGCGGAGCGATCCATATGTATACTTAGTGCGTAATAAACCTTGACCGACGTTTTACCAATCTCGGGTTATTGACATTCCAATATTGCGTAACAATAATACTTGAGCAAACGATCCAAACGTACATACACTTCGCACTTCCTGCCCAGGGGATGAAGCATATTATGTAATGCAGCATTTATTTCCTTTTGTTACTGTTTAGCTTGACTACCAGCTATTTATTTTTATATAGATTTACTGAATTGATAAAAATACTCACCTCGGCATCGGTCGAATCGTGATCAGCGTAGGCAAGGTTCTCTCGTTTCAGAGTTGCTACGCTTCCACCGTTGACTACCAAAGATAATTCACTCGATAAATCTGGAGTGGGGCCGGTGCTGTCCGTCTTCAGTACTGATACCTGGTTGAAAATAAAAAGTTCGATTTTAAAGTGTTATAATAATACTATCAAATGTGTTTTACTATAACCGTCGTATACTTGCATGAGTGCGTATGTGTATGTTCGTCTATAGAAATAACGTGGTGCCTTCTTTTACTTGGTGCTCTGAGCACGTGCTTATACTGATTATGGTTAATCCATTCCTACCTTTGTGCGTTGAGACAGGATTGACAAATATGTTATGAAAACGTTAGTCGATACATTAAAAAAATAAAAAAATACATAGCAGACTGTATACATCTCATTTAGACTCTTATGGGTCCCATCGAAAAATACCGACTATTTAGGACGTTGATATCGAGAGGCAGTAGTAATAAACCGACTGGGCATCAAAATATAGAAGCATGTCATCCTAAACTTGTAGTCCTTATATTATGATGAACTTGTTACTGCCCTGTATCGCGTGTGAAATCAGAAATACCCAATGAACTTAGTTCAGCAGGCAGATTTTCTAACCTGAATAACTTTTGTCGCTGTGTGTGTTACATCTGTCACGCTGACTTGTAGTTGATCAGTTAGTACTTCGTCTGATCCGTCGTGGACATAATGAAGTGAGTTGCGCTGAATCTGAAATTACAATATGTTACTAGAGGACTTGAAAACTGTTTCAGTATAACTTATGACAGCTTGTTAATGAAAGCTAAGCATACCTAAAAATTTAAAAAATCAAAATACAGCCGACGGTGTCCTCAAGCGGTTTGGCCACGCTTAAGAATTTCAAAAACTTCAAAATACCAAAATATTTGAAAATGTCATACTTTGAATACTAATTTTTTAGTCATTTCGTACCATTGAAACCGTAACCTCCGTTACATTTATATTATGAAGGCAGGAATAATTCTTCCTAATTTACAAGAAATCGCCCATATACCACATATATGGGTGCTCCCGTAGTATTCGTACCAAGATGGCGCACAACCTGAACATAGTATGTGTACCAGTGTAGGATTAGCAGGTTGTGCACCATCTTGGTACAAATACTACTGGACCGCCATCTTTGTCAGTGACTGGAATTCGTACTTTATCAACCACCAGGGAAAGTCAATGATTGACTCGTGACTCGACTAGACCCGCGATTCGAAGTTTAGCACCTACTAGGTAATTGTCTGTAGTAAAGGACCATATTATACGTATTTGATTTAACGTTTTATTTTTACTTTTAAGACTTATCAAAAGGGGTGCATGCCGCACATTTGTATTTTAGGCCGGTATGGTCTTGTGCATACATCCCGTCTCCAATATTGATGAATGTCAACTCTTTTATATTGATTTTACGAGACGATCAAACATACATACATACATACATACATACCAAACACTGATATTTAATAAGGTAACTGGATTTTTTTTCTTTACCTCGTCATGCGTGAATGAATCTCCTTCTCTCAACATCACTCTCATTCCTCTGTCATTTCTGACCACTGACCCGTGACGGGGTCGTTTCACGAGAGTGAATATCAAGTCTCTATGGTGGGTATCTGGATCAGTGATGCTCAGCTGTTGCGTTCCTGTGACATGTTAAAAATTTACAATGAAAAAGGCACGATGGTTCAACAAATCGATGGTCCTCACCAGTCACAGAGAAAAATATCATATTTAAGTTGGGAAATATGACGACCTCGTGCCCATTTTGATTCATGTCAAACTTCGTGCTTTTTAACACAATATTTAATCACACTTTATAAAGCACTCATTATCATACCTGAAATGTGATATTTACGCTAACCAAGGTTATACCCTTAATCCTATCCCATTTTAACGGTTTAATAATCAGAGGTTCGAAAACATGTCTCTAAATTTCTATCGTGTGATTTTCAGCCACATGTACCCTATACTTTTCTCTATTTAAGTCCAAAACAAGAATTTTGGCATAATTCATACCAATAGGAGCAGTTCCCCCTTGTGTGACATCAATTCTAGGATGCGGATTGGTGAAAGTAGGACCGGCAGTGTTTCCCTGGTCGACCAGTTTGATTGTAAACTTAGCTGGGTCCAATGTATGTTGACCATCTGATACTGTGTATTCGAATTGTACTTCTTTAGGGAGACCGCGACTGTGATAAAAATATGTAATAAGCAAATTAACAAAGCCAGTAAGTTTACTTTTATGGCGGGAGATGACTTTGATGACCGCATGTATGGTCGTATCGATTCCCCAGTTTATACCAAATAAAGCTTTTTGCTGAGGAGATGTTTACTGGTGTAACGAAATAGGTAACCGCATTCTCGCCCTCCCACACAGGAGCTAACAATTGGGGGCTCCCGAAGTATGCGAACCAAGATGGCGGACATCGGAATGTAATATGTGTACTAGGTTAGGGTTAGGCCATAATTTTAGGTATAAATACTACGGGAGGCTCTTGGCTAGTCTTCGAACTGATAATAAGACTAAAATAAGGAGAATTGGAAAAAAATTATCGCCTAACCCTAACCTGTTACGCATGTTACGTTCCGATGTCCGCCATCTTGGTTCGCATACTTCGGGAGCACCAACAATTGAAAGCGCAAATAACACTGTTTCGTGAGTTACAAGTGACCAAAAAGTTATACATTAATCTACCAGCTATATTCTGGCCGAATTCCAATAAGGGGGCATTGCTTTTATACGGCAAGGAGCACAATAAACGCAAACTGCAATATGTTCAACTCTGATATATATGTCATTTGGTTATACCACGCTGAGATTTGTTTACTTTTAAGCGAGTTATTGTGACCCTTCTCAAAGCAAAAATCAAAAATGTATCACAGTTACTCCCAATATAGTGAAAGATATATGAAACAAGAAATCCCCGAGCAAAAAGCAATTTTAACAGCATGATAGCGTTGATAACATGAGATGAGAGCAAAAATGCATAAGCGTTATTTTTTAAACTGATTGCAAACGAAAATGCCAATGCCCACCAATACATTATTCAGCCATGAGTGAAAACAAACAACAAGCGTTTATAAATACACCGATGCTTATGCGAAAGTTTGAGCAAATGAAGCCAGTGTCATAGTTACAGTTTTTAGAAGTTTTGTTTTGTTTTAGATCCAAGTTCGATATTGAATGGTTAAGTGATGGAACAAAACTATCGTTTTCTTTTTTTTAAAATCACTCATTCCATATATATATATATATATATATATACAAAAACAAAAATATTGAGAATGTACTGTATGTAAAAGGGTATCAGTTACATTTCATAAAAATTTGGTTATCCAGAGGGTAGACTAGTTGAAACCTGCTTGAATATTTTGAATTTTTGTATGATATTTTGAGATATTTAAACTATGCCACTGGGTAGAATATGAAGATGCATGAGAAGCCACTCACGTTTCAAATGTGAATGCTTCATACTTATGATGATCGTATGTGTATCCGTATTCCGAAAGGTCTTCTGCGGTTTCGCCGTCCATTATATCATCATAATCGTCATCCATTATGACTTCATCAGTAATACCATCACCCATTGATGACATCATAATTTCACTGGCAGGTCGGAAGATGATCTTGTTTGAATCGATTTCACTTTGTGTGAAGACGGTGATCGGGACGAGAGGGTTGTCTGCGTGCTCAATACTTCCAAAGAATGGCGGAATGGACCTGTTAATGTATTTATTAAATTACATGCTCTTGGAAGTAAGTGTGCTTGTTGTATAACCAAAACGGTGGCTTTTATTATGGCATAGAAATGAAATTTTATTAATTTTTAAAGTCGCTCATATAGGTATGTTGGATAGGTGTCTGTCAATTTATCACGAAAGACTTAATTCAAAGACTTATACTGCTGCCTCAACTTCCTATATAATACCAATGTAATGATGGTGCATTCCATATACGCTGTCAAAGGTAAAGAAAGCCGTAAGCACTCACTAAGCTGAAGTATACAAACACCCGACTGAGGTAGTATGATGGGGCTCCCTTATAAAATAACTAGCCCGAACAGCCTCAAGCTGTTTACACGAGCCATGTTGAACCACATAAAGAATGGATATACCCAGAGCTGGGATTCAAATTTTTTGTCAGCCGGTTCCATCACAAAAGTCATATTTTTCAGCCGGTTCTGATACAAAAAGTCATCTTTTTTTTTAGTAAATAAACCATTAATGCTAACCGGTTTGCTGATCTCATAAAATTCCGTGAGACGGTTTTATAGAACCGGTGCGAACCGGCTGAATCCCACTACTGGATATATCCACTAATCTTACTGATTTCAATATCAATCACTTACTTCGTAATATTATAAATCAAATCTCTATCAGGAGTGTCTTCATCAGTATATCTGATATATCCACTGTGTAAAACAGTGACATGGTCCTCGGTTGCTGTCATCTGCGGTGGGAAACTTACTCCTCTTGCTATGTGAGGCTTCTCTGTGTTTTCTGGGATCACAGACACACGGAATACGTCATCCGTGACGTGACGAGCTGGTCGGTAGTTTTCATCAATAACCTGAATATACGTTTGTTGTTATATTAGTTACCATCGTTTTGAGATTTTTGCTTTGCATAATAATCAGAACACTGGAGTCGCAAACTATTTTCACAATTCCATAGTGTAAAATAACATTTGGGTCGTAAATAAACTTGGCCCTATTCTTGGCCGACTTCGGAACGACAATATTTTGATCCATGGGCTTTAAACCACTACCAAACCTCATTCTATCAGTTGCGAGTTCCGAACCCTAACTTCAAGAAATCTCTTTGGCAGGTTGAAAATTTTGGCTTATTTGAATTGAATCTGAAACTCCCAGTGTTTTTCAATTCTGAGGCGAAAGGTTGTAAATATTGAGTTACTGTTACCTGGAATTCAAACGCCTCAACTTCACCAAGGCCGCCTAGATCACGATACCAGACATCGCCCTCGTCTACGTCCTCTTGTGAAAACCTCATCAATGGCGGAGATCTGTAAACGGTGTCTTCCATCTTTACCCAGTTGTCAGTCACTAGCATTGGGTCATCAGATGACATGGGTGAAATTTTAACGACTTCTCCGCTGTGAAAAAAAGGGTTTTAAAATAAGCGACGGAAATCATTTTTTACTATTGGCTGTTATTAAATTAATTGCGGTTTGACAGACAACTTGCAAGCGACCACTATGGCCATGTTTATGGTATATTTGGATCAATCCTTCGAACAAGTGAAGCTAAGATGACAGTACGTATTGTTGAGTTGGTACTTTAAATACTTCGAGTCAGTACTACAATAGAAAGGTTGGTGAAAAGAATTCCACAGCTCTTATACAATGAACCATTTACTGTAGGCCTATATCAGCACTTTCGGATGACCCCACTCTTCTGATCATAAAATCTAGATTTAGTCCAGCAGTCTAATTAGTATGCCATCATGCGAGAAGATATCAAGAGTATAATGAGTCGAAAACTACAATAAAGGGACAATTGGAGCAAACAAGTAAAAAATAACGCTACCAACCTTGTAAAGTTCACAGGTTTGAGCGCGTAGACCAGTTTGGATTTGTCTTTCACTCTTTTCCCGACAGTGTTCAACAACTCGCTTGTAATGTGCAAAAGCCCTTTGCTTCTTACACGAGATGGTTTGTTGGTAACTAATGACGGTGCAGAAGAAGCCTGAAAATGGAAAAAGTAAAATTCAATTTTTCAATATTTAGTCTGAAAACAAACACGAGTTAAAAATTTCATTTTAGGTTTTTGTATATGCGCTATGCTCAACTCATAGTTAGCTAGTTTATATACAAATGAAATACGCCGTGCCTCGTCGATTTTCAAATTCCCCCATTCATAATTAGCACCATATGCATTAGTCAATTAGTCGATTAGTAATTATTGCTACTGCGAACTAACGAAAGTTTAAGTAAATAAATACATTGCGAAGTTGCTCTCCCAAGAGCTTTCGTACATGAGCACGCTGAACGGTTCAAGTACAGCATAATTGTAAGTTCTCATTTACCTTGGGTACGATTTCCACTCTGAGTGCGACATTGATCACGTGATATTTGTCCGATACTTGAAGTCCGATGACGTCATACAAGGTTGATTTCGACTTCAGTCCTTTCCTCGGAGTGTAACGTAAAACATTCTGATCGATGTCTTCAAGCTGGGTGGTGCAAACAGAGGATATTATTCTTCAAATCGGGCGGCCAATAACACATATTTTAAAGTACAACTCTCATATATTTATAAGAAGGAGACTACCGATAAGTGAGCATACTTGTTTTATTTTTATTTCCTCCGGCAGCTGAATATCATTTGGCATTTTTCGTACGGTACTGATATTACTCAGACTTGTGTCGGATTAGTGCCAACGCAATAGCTTTTTTAATGAATAAAGAAATGTAATCTTACCGTGAAGTCCAAAACCTCTGTGTCCACGTGATTCGTATTAGTGATAAATCCATACTTTGGTGATGAAACAATGGTTATTGTGACGTCAGCTGAATTGTCGTCATCGGTTATCATCAGATTTGACAACGATATCTCTGTTGTTTGACCAGAGCTAGAATGATAAAAATAAAAATGCATTTTAATTTAATGAGCAATTGGCATAAAATTGGACACGGATTGTACCATTTTCTTAGCTTTTGTTCTCGTTGAAATAATCGCTTTCCCGTAATCGATTTTTCGATATCCTCAAGACTATTGAAAATCCAATTTTTTGACTTTCGGCTGGACTCGCTAGCTGTTACGATCTAACATCTGGCTGTTAAAAATTTCAGACCCCGCTTTTTGAAAATTTTTGGCTACGCCACTCAAGTACTTGCCAAAAAAGAGAAGCTGTTTCACCTGACTACAAGCGGCTTGTTCCTGACAACCATAGGTGAGTGAGTGGATACAATCAGTATGTTGATGTCTTGTGATGCAGATTCAAGATGACCATCCGTTACTTTAACCCTTGCAACACGAGGTAGACGAACAATCTCATCTGGAACAAACCAAACACTTCCTTGTTTGATTTTTAATAGTGGAATTTCGTCACCGATTCGAACTCTGATCTGAAAATAAAGTTTAAAAATCAGTTTCGGTATAGATAGCATGGCGAGCTGATGTATAAGAACCTGAAAATTACGGGGAAACAAAGAAAGAATTCGCAAAAACTAGATGCCAAAATACAGAGGTGGGACATTGAAGAAGATAAGCGCAAATCATAATGCAAACCTCGCCAAAGTATAGATCCCGACGTCACGACAGAAAACCTTGAATTCGTTCGTGCGATTTAAAGTCGCTTGAAATGGGACATTGTACAATGCCTTTTCGGTACGCTAGTGATGGTGGAGTGTACAAAATAAACCTTGGTATAGAAGTAGTTTGCATTTCCTATACCAAGAAAGGTATGAGTCATATCCAGCTGATAGGACGGTGGGGTCAGACAAGAGGATCGCATAAAATCGACCTCATTTCCGCATCTAGACAAACTCGTCAGTTTATCTCAACCACAATTGGATTACAGGCAGAATGACCTCCGTCATTTTTCAGCATCAATGTTTAGTAGAAAATACAAGACCACGCGCACTCACTCATAAGTAAATGATTCTTATCGCCAAAGGAAGTTAGCTAGTTTATATAAATATGGTAGGACATATGATGCCAGCGTGGGGCGTGAATCAGTCAAATCATTGAAAACACTACTTACATTATCGACTTCAATCCGCCCGTTTCGTGGTTGTGCTTCCAAAATAAGTTTCAGTTGGTCATCGGCTGAGTCTTTGTCTGAAGCCTCTATTATTTTGTCATCAATGACTGATCTTCCGTTCATTGTGACGATGATAGGTCGAAGAATGGAAAGAGCTGGTGCTTCGTTGTTCGCCTGGATATATAACAAATGGTTTTCAAAGTTTTAAGGTGAAATATGAAGACGGGGGAAAATGCCGATCGGCTGCAAAAGTTTAAAATTGATAGTATTGGGTTTGACAACTTTTATCTAAGCCAGAAATGAATCAAACTTGCTCACAACTTTTATTGACTCGAACAGGGCGCTGTTAAAGTATGGAGATAGAGACTGAAATAAATATTCCATAGATGAATTTTCCGGAGCATTCCTATAGTACCAGACACACATATATTCTGTGTAAATTTATTTTATATTAGAAACAATTATTAGACCATTTGAATGCAAATCAGTCCAGAAAACGATACCTGGCACAGTCTTGTCATTTCATTTCCAAAGTATCCGTTTCTGCAATTTCCGCAAAGTGAACTTCGTCTGTGTCTTGGGGCTGTAAATTCGAAGATAGTTTTAACCAATGGCCTAGTAGATAAAGCCTTGAATATTTTGAACTTGCTGTTGGAATTCTAGGTATGAAATCTCTGGTTCAAATTCCACCATCTCTCCAAGAGTGTGATAAATTGGCAATGCCCAACTGAAAACATTGCTTGTTAAGCGCATCTTTCTGAAGAAGAGGCGTATTAAAATCGTGAAAGACAAGGAAATTATTTTTAAAAGAGCTCAATAAGACAAAAACGGTTTATATATTTGAACTCCAACCTATTTGACTGACACATAATTTGTGGTGATGGTGGTGATATTGACAGGTTTTTGGAACTACAAGGACGCTTGAAGTCAGGAGTTAATATCAACACAAGTTTTGAGTTTTCTATTGGCTAAGGTAGACCGTAACAGCTGGCGGGTCTTGAAGTTACGAAACATTGCTATGTATGATACATTTTTTTTTACATTTTAAAAGAAGAGGGGACCGAACTGGGCACGCCCCTGTACAGATGTGACAACACGTTCCCAGCTCCGTGCTATTTTTACAAAAATCTGGTATGAGAAAACATGGTTCTGTTTGGAACTTCACAAGTATAACAAAAAACTCACTTTTATCCAATGGGTCGGTTTCGGCCTGCATGAAAGTTTGAGCATCGCATTGGTCGCAGGATGTTGGGGTTGTGCAGTGAAGGCAATGTGATGGACATGCTACACATGTGTTGGTTGTTGGATCATGAACGTATCCTTGTGGACAGGATGAGACGCACTTGTTTTCTGCAAGTGAATTTAAACATTTATTTTAAGTTTATTTTGATAGAGAGAGTGAGTATTATTAGATGGGTTAAAATAAAACATGTCATAGTCAAATTTATTTTTTCCATCCAGTAAAAAAATAACATGCAAAGTTTAAAGAAATAATGCTGAATACAATTTTCACTGGAGAAGGAACGGGGAACTAAAGCTGGTTATCTAGCAGCGACACCCATATCATAATCTGTTGTGCAGTTTTTAATAATGCCAGGTATCATGAACCGAATAAATCCTTGTGAGTAGAATGTCTGCTGCGAGTAATTTCATGTATAGATTTGTGGTATTTTTAATCCGGGGGAGAGAATGAATTATTTACATGTTGTATTTATGTTTTTTTCACTGAATCTTCAAACCATAAAACTAAAGCTTACCATGGATATGATGTGGAAGACGACATGCAGAGCAACTGTTTTCATCAGCACAGGAGACACAATGCTTGGTTTTACATGGAAGACAAACAGATGATGATTGGTAGTATCCTGAAAACAGAAAATAATGTGTTAACAAAATATTATCGCTGTCAAGGTATGGATATAATTTTGATTACTAATTTTGTAAGTTACAGTATGGAAAAAATTCTGTGGCCATCACTATAAGTAGGAGCAAGATTTCCGTCATCAAATGCAGAGAATTTTTACGTCTGGACCATTTTTATATCTTATGTGAAGAGGTGGACTAAATTATGGAATGACCAGGGCTAAAACAGGTTTTACTGCAAGGCCAGCGTAATTTTGACTAAATCGAAATTTAAAGATAACAGTTACTTACCTGAAGTACATTGTTTCACACATCTTCCATTCTGTAGTTTTGAGCCAGGCATACATTCAAGACATTGGTTTGAATCCGGACCCCAACACCGGTTACAACTCCAATCACATTCTTTGCAAATCGGAGTTCCAAGCGAGCTCCCTAAGTGTTGAGACGAAAAAAATAATACAGATACATATGAGAAATGAACAAACAGAATGCATGCATAACATTGAATGTAAACCACCGCGATCATGAGCTCAAAGAGGAATAGTTTAAATCAGGGGTGTGCAACCTTCATAGAAATAACTGGGTGAAACCGCGGGCCGCACTTTTATTTTTTATCTAGTAGTTGCAAGCATAAAAATTTTGGATTCTAATCTTGCGACATGCGTTGTTAGCACAAGCCAGCTGGTAAGGCATTGTAAAGTCATAGACATATAGATAATAAATTGGACTCAGTTATAGGCTTAGCGGAGCAAAGGCATTTGGCTCCCCGCAGGTTGCACACCCGTGTTTTAAATCATAATTAGTGTCTTTATACAACTAGCTGTAAATCGAGGAGAACCGATCAAGAACTTCTTTGGTGGAAATGTGGGGATAAAGTTCAGACAAAGAACGAGTGATATAATATCAATAAAAATAGCAAAGTGACGAATTTACTGGTAAAATATTGCAAGTCTGAAGCCAGTTAGTTGTCTTGGATCAGTATCTGAGGAAATACTTTGAGTTGTATTCCATATCATTTTATCTGGCCCATGTGATTGATATATTATAATTGACAAATAGGGCGTGTGAATATGTTTTGAATCACGACATGCTACATATAATACAGTAAAATGTTTGTATACAAATCTTTGTAATATTCTGTACTAAAATATAAGTGAACTATTTATTTTTTCGCCGTATCCATTCCTTATCCACATAATAATATTCAATGATTAGTTGAAATTTCTGATTCAAAAAATGTAAATTAACTCATTACCTGCTACATCGGAGTAAAACTGTTCTGCGCATCCAGCAATGCATTCCCCGAACTGAAGAACTGCGCCTGTGTCTTTGCATGATGTGCAACGAGGTCTTGTTCCTCCACTAGGTGGAAGCTCACAGGTAGTGCATGCCGAAGGGCAGGATTCACATTGACCTAGATAACAAATATACTTACTTTCCAATCACAATAATATTTACCCAATGAAAAGTCATCGAAACTTATCTTTCATTCGATTGGGCGTCACATTAAACCAATCCTAGTCATTGTGGTGATATTGACTGAGATAGAAATAACGCTTATCGTATAAGGTATCGGTTTTCAACCAGTGGGCCATGGCTATAAAACATTTTCAGGTAGGCCCCAAACCTATTGAAATTTGTTAGGGTTATAGACAAATTAGTGAAACTATTGTAGTAGGGATGAATGGCGATGCTGTTCTTGCTACTGAGTGGTAATTCTCATTTTAATTATCAAAGTGTCTATCTTTACAAAATAGTTTTTTCTTGTAGTTTTCCTCTTGAACGAGGAAGTTAGTGGGCCACAGAATTTTTCGTGCAACAAAAGTGGGCCACGGAAGAAAAAAGGTTGAGAACCACTGACTATAAGGCGATCTGAAGATTGGCCCAAAAACTGGGCTGTTGGGGAATTGTTTGAAATATAATAGAACGGACACTGGTCGACTGACCTTTCTGTTTTTGCAAAGTAATTTTTTTCTACTAGGTGGAAGTAATAATCTCAAATATCAAGTTAACTAATATTTTAATATTTTTTTCTCGATAATATTTTTATGTGGAACCTTAGATCGTTCGGGGTTGCTGGAACTATTACCAGCCAATGTAATAGATAGAATGATAGTATTTTTTCTAGGAAACCTTGAATGCAATTTATTGCAAAAATATGAACACAAAATATTATTACAAAATCGCACCTTTCAAAGCAAAGTATCCGTCTTCACACGATTCTACGCATTGTGACGTCATTTGAGAGCGTAATTTTTTGTCGTCACATTCGATACAATTGTCTTTCGAGTCACATGATGCGCAACCCCTGGTACAAGGAACGCACATAGAACCGCTAGGAGTAGTCTGAAACATATAAAGCTTAAAATGAAACAGTGTCAAATGGGTTTGGGTTTCTATACTGATAGATTGGTGGTTGCTAAGCCTGGCATGGGCAACTACCGGCCGCTGTTCAAATCCGGCCCGTTTGGTAATTTAATCTGGCCCGCCTGATGCTGCCACAACCAAACTAAACTTTGATGTTTTAGCTGAAAAATAGCTCAAGGGATTGGTTGGGATTGTGATTAGAGTTATTTTTTGCACGAAGCTTATTGGTTCAAACTTTTGCTTATGTAAAACTGTGAATATTATTCTTAGAATGTAACTTTTCACGTCACACTTACATGGAACGCAAGACTAGGTGGGAAAATTTTGGCCCCTGGCACAAAAACCTTGCCCACCCCCGTTCTAAGCCCTTGAACGTTGCCTTTTTTGTTGTTTTCTCCATTTGTCGCTAATAATAGTTTGCGAATAGATATATAGTCTTAGCCACCACTCCAATGGCATCATTTGTAGAGAGCTACTGAGCTGTCATATAGACAGTAGGTTTGATTGTAACAGCAGGCACACAAGATGTGAACTACGATTCAGCGTAGTGTTAGTGTAATATTTTGGGTGAATGTATTAATCCTATGAAACAAATCTGAGTCCTATGGAGAAAGTTAAATAAAAGGCCTCATGGCGAAACATGGAGTACTAAAAGGAGAATTCGATTGGCTCGTTAGTTGAAGATAAAAGCGATTTTTCCCAACAACAACAACATCGAAAATAGCAACAGCAGGAATTCAACGAAACGACCCATAGTTTCAAATCCCTGTCCAATAACGATATACATAAAAATATCGCACAACTCAAAGCTATCAGTCTACCTTTTTGTACGTTCCTTTCGGGCAAACCGTGACGCATTTTTCAATGTCAAGGTCATCGCTTGAGCCCAAGGTCAGAATCATCGACTTTTTCATCTGATTACATTCGGCCAGTTTCGTTTTATCGTAACACTGTTGCGTTCTTTCATCAGCGACAAGACTAAGCGCCCAGCATTCGTCTGCTGACAGACACATTTGTCTCAACTGTGACGTCATGTGTGATGTCATTAGAAGAAAACCGTGACTAAAGCAGGATGTACAATTGGTGTTTGATGGTCCGTCACATCTGGCACAAGTTTCGTGACAGCCTGGAACAAATACAACAAACATTTGATTACGATTCTTTTAGTACAGTGATTGGTTTTGACTGTATGAGTCAAACTGTATATAATGAGCCTTTTAAGAGCTGGGCAGGATTCATAAGAGCATAGTCAAATGGCAGGCTCAGAAACCCGTCAGAGTTACATGGCTTACATATATATGAATGGGAGAAGATTTCAGCCAGAGGCATGGATACAGTACTTTAGCGTAGGCATATGAAAGGAGTAAGCATAAAGAGTTTGGATTCATTGTATGTTCTAGGTTGGAATATATATAAAACTTTAGGTAAATGCTTAGAGAAAACATAAGAAGTGGCGATTCACGGTATGTTCGAGATGTAGAATAGATATGGAACGTTGGGAAAATGATCAAGTTTTGAAGTCGGATTCATGAAAAAATTGATGCTTCTATCTTACGGGTTATTCGTAAAAGGCCCACTCACTACCGTTTAACCTAGACATGGGCCAACTACGCCCTCGGGACGAATCCGGTCCGTTGGGTAATTCCATTTGGCCCGCCTGATGCTGCTATAACCGAACTAAACCAAATTTTGACGTTGAAGCTTAAAGTTAAAAAAAAGCTCAAGATATTAGTTGAGATGGCCACCAAATTTAGTTTTGGCACAAGGTTAATTTTTTTCCCACTTTTGCTCTTGTAACACTGTTAATATTGTCCATAAAATGTAACTTTTCAAATCACACTTATATGGCCCTTCAGTCTAGGTGGGCAAAATTGTTGGACCCTAGTCCAAGAACCTTGTCCACCCCTAAAACCTTAACCTATGACATGTAAGCTAACCATATCAACATACTTCCATCATATGCCGATCACTCTTACCTCTACAAACTCTATTTTCCATGTAATGTCCTTCATCGCAGTTTTCAACGCACTGACCAGTGGCGAACAAGTCGGATCTCAATTGAAGCATTTGCGTATTGGATGAGCATGCTGTACAATCAGATGGGGATCCACCAACACAAAGATGGCAACTTAAGTGACAGGCTGCAAGACAAAAGTTCTATTCGTGAACATAAAACACAAGAGTTTGAATATTGCTTTGATACCAGTTTGTAGTTAATGTAATGTCATGACGTCCAACCAATCGCACATGAAAAGCTTTGATTATCTTGAATTTTTAGGTTTTGTTCATTACAATTCAAATCACCTATCATTTTTACTGCATCTTATGTCAAGAAATAGTGCACTGAAATTCAGGACAGTTAACTGGGTATCATCTATACCCGAACCGCGGCTGGTAGCCGAGCTATATATTGCGATTGCCTATACGAATAACCCGTCTCATCGACCTTTTTCTTAGGGCAAAATATGTACAATATGTTATCCGATCCCTCTACTCGGAACAAGACTTGGAGTTGAGTATAGGTGAAACGGATCAGTAGATATATAATTTGACTATAATCGATTCCAATCTGACGAACAAAATAAGATCATAGCAGAACATTTTCGTTACCTTTGCATACCCCGTCGCTCGGATAGAATCCTGCCGGGCAATTATCAATGCATTTCCCGCTATGAAGCAATTTCTTCTCCGAGCAAGTAGAACATTGGTTTACTAAAGGTCCAACACATGATGCACATGACTCGTGGCAAGCTGTTAAAGATTTTTGAAAAGATGAAGATGATTTTAAAAGGATCTGATGGATTAGTGTCGATTAAGACATTGATTGAGGGGTGTCTGTGACATATTTATCTGAGATGTAATACATTGATTGGCTAAAAGAAAGTTTCCCTGTCTTCAAAATGAAAGAGATATAATAATTTAAATTTGTGGTCTTCATGGATTTCATGACACAAATAAGTTTTTAATATATAAATTTATCATACGAATCAAGTTTGCCGTAGCCTTTCAAATTCAAATATTAATCCCCGAATTAGGTGGAATTCTTCAAAATAGGAAAACGTGAAAAAGATCAAGTGCAGACTAGTAATGCAATTCGAAGAATGCATACCTGCGCACTTCCCGTCTTTAGTTTTGTAATATTTCTGCGAGCATTCACTGACGCAGAGATGGTTCTGCATTATCTTTCCTGGCGGACAAGTATCGCATATGTTGGAGTCCGATGAACAGGATGCGCATGAGGAATGACAAGCTACAAAATGAATGAAAAAGAGTATAAGAAAAATAAAGAAGAATACAAATAAGAAAGTGTACGCCGTAGCGATGTCAAAAAAACAGGCTGACGTGGGACTTGAAGTTATCTTCAGTTCAAGTAAGTTCTGTTAGGGAAACAGCTTGAAGGATTGGAATTTTGCAGCTAACACTAGGGCAAACTTGCGGGCAAACTACGGTCGCGGACTTAAGGAATTTGTTGAGATTGCGATTAAACTGAGTTTTGACACGATGCTTATTGTTTTTCATATTTGCTTTTGTCATACTTCATAATAATGAAATGTAAGTTTTCAAGTCATACTTCCATGGCCCGTAATTCTAAGTGGGCAAAATTTTTGGCCCCTGCTCCAAAAACCTTGCCCACCCCTAACACATAGAGGCGATAGAACCAATAATAGGTATGTATCCTCTATGACTATGCAATACCACTGGTAGTGTATTCAGTATCTCTTTGAAGAAGTGGATGTGGCGTCAAAGTAGTCATTGCCGCAAAAAGGTGGCGTCATAATGAAGTTTCACGTCATGATATAAAAATGACGTCATAACACCGTTCGAAATTCTAAAGGAGCTATAAATCGCTCACAGATCAATATGACTGCTATATGTGCAATAGTTAATAATAAATGTGGAATAAAAACACTTTACTTACGTTTACAGATGTTATCAGAATAGAAGAAATCTTTGCCACACCGATCCGCACAATCTCCATTTTGTACCAGCATAGTTTTATTCGTGCATTCGACACAAACGCTGGCACTTAGGCATCTTGCACATCCTTTCATGCAATCTAGAAACGGAATCAGGGGTCATAGGTCAGTAGCAGAAAAGACACGGGTTATATTATTTTCGGTATAGCAGTCAATCTCAATGATATCGAAAGTCTAGGACCTCAACCTTTATTTGCAAGCAGGAGAATCACTGATATAGGAGTTACAATTGACATTCCCACTGGCGCATTGTGCTGAGCCTTTGGAACATGATTGACACTGCTGCCATTATTACCATATTTGGATGTTTTTATGCAGCATTCATTATTACCTCCCCATCAAAGGGCATTTATCGTCTCGCTGGTTGTTTTCCTATTACATTTATTGTTGTAGCATGGACGATAGGGCTGTATGGTCTAGTAATGATGACTAATATGTCTTTTGCATGTTATAAAAGTCATCTTACGTTTGCAAAGTCCATCGTCGTCGAAGTATCCGGGAATGCAATCCTCGACACAGGTTCCGTCCTGTAGTTGCAGAGGAGATTTACATGAAGTGCAAGTGTTGGGTGAGTTCGCCAGTGTGCAAGTTTCGCAAGTAGAATGGCAACCTTAAAATATAATGTAATACGTGTGGATCAAGTTCAGATTTTGGTCCATCAGTTTTGCCGCTTTTAGAGTTAGAGAACCAACTTTGGTGTAAGATATAATGGGTGAAAAAAGATATGGGATTCGTTTTTTTGTGTGCAATGACGCCATTAAAATTGAAAATTGCGCACTTTGTGGCGGTAGACTACTGTGACAGATTGCATGCCTGAACTTCATTGTGGCTTTCGTGTCCATATATTTGAGCATCGATCTCTTGTTTTAGAAGAGGTGGTCGCGAGTCTTTGGAAGGGGGTATACGTATCATATGAATGTTTAAAAACCATTTGCCCATGAATATGAAATAAGAAACTTACGTTTACAAGTCTTTCCTTCTTGATAAAACCCAGGCAAACATCTTCTGACACATTTCCCTTCCTGTAGTAGATGCCTCGTGTTCTTGCAAGTTGTGCACTGACCGTACTTAGGCCCATTGCATGTTAAACAATCCGCGTGGCAGGTAACGGGTTCGCATGTTGGACAGCATTCACCTGTAAATATAAAATGGAAATTTTGCTGTCAGTGCTATTTATTTGAGGTAGATATTCTAATCAAAACAAGCCTAGTGAAGTTAGTTAATTGAGGGGCATGTAGATTCCAGAGTCCGGTTAAAAACTGCCAAGCATAGTTAGTTGTATAGACAGTTATATAGTCTCAATCGGCAGATGAAAGTCCTTCTCAAGTGGATTGCATACAGGGCTGGCATATTTGACTGCAGGTTTTTGGCGAAGCTACAAAGAACATATATTGCCAATCAATTGCAATGTTCATGTGAAAACTTTTTTAAAGTTCTTTTAATAATGTTCAAATATCTCTAGCCTAAATGAAAAATGGTGATATTTGTGTTAGAATTGAGTAAAGTTTTGAATATAAAAATTTGAAAACCGAAAATAATAATAAATAAATAAATATCGAAAATATCGGTCAGGGACCGAAGACTTATCGATCAAAAGTTCCCAAAACAGCGCTCTCACTCCATAGCGACACCTTGTGTCCCATCACTAATTAATTATTAACTCGCTAATTATACGACATAATTCATCCAAAATCAATAGGCTTCTGATCCGAGATATGATGAATGCATTTGCAAAATTTGGAGCGGATTCATCCTCGCTTTCGTGAGATATCGCGTGTATCTAACAGACAAACAAACAAACAGACAAATACCTATCAACATACTTACCGATCTTAAGATCGATAAGTAATAAATAAAAAATAATCACACAAAGACTTTGAACGGCTAAATTTAACTTGTTTATGTCACACATCCTTTACTATTTGAGTGACCATGACCTAACAGTCCACATGGGTGGTTTTAATGTTTGTAAATCAAGGGAAATTACTCTCACTCCATATTCTATGGCATATTTAAAATTCAAGTACTAGAGGTTAAAAGTTCTTTTGTTACGCGGAGCGAGCACTCTTTCTTTCAGGCAACTTGTTCCGCTATGCATTCAATGCGTATCAATCTAATCATTTGGGTACTCCAGGTGTATGTGTACCAATATGGAGGTTTGTTTGCCTACTTTACAACAGGTTGTGTAAAGGGACGGAAGCCTATGGGCTGGTGGGATATTCCCTTGGTTAACACAGACAGTCCCCTAACTCGTAATAGAACTAAAATAAGGAAAATCGAAATGAAATCATACCCTAACTTGGTACACATACTACGGAAGTACCATCAGTTGACTTATTTTACGACCATTTGAAAGTCCGACCCAGGTTATTCAGAGTTTCGGCTGAGCTTACAGTGTAAATATGCCAAACTCAGAATTCGCAGCGCCTGCCAACTCATAGCGTGTCTACAACATTCCAACAATAGCGTGCGTACAAGTGAAGCGTGTCATACATGTCATGCGACATTGACAATGTAAGAAGAGAATCTTTGTAGTGTTTTGAGTTCATGAGCTGTCGAAAAATTTAGTCAATTTGGGAATTTTTTAGCTTTGAAATTGCTGGCATTGATTGTCAATATACGTTACAGATTGTCGCACTTTGCACTGCAATTGCAACGACATAATACAAAAACATGACGTCATAATAATATATGACGGCATACTATAAAATGTGACGTCATAATAAAAAGACACCACGTCAAATAAAATTGAGATGCCCTAGTTGTGATGCAAAGATAGTTTTGCAAACTTTGAAACCACTAGTTCTTGTGCCTTGTGCCACGTATAGAACTAAATATAGATTCAACCACTAAATAATGCAGTGAACCTTCAGCACGACAGGCCTGTTATTGTGCCAAAACGTTAAAGATCAAATTTCTAATTTTCTCAAAAAAGAGACGAAATGAGGTCGCGTTACACTGATGTGGTTTTGGCAGCGCAACAAGGTTAAGAACGGTGACGCAAAAAAGTCTGGAAAAAGTTCTGAGTTAGAAATAAATACAATCGGCTGCCATAATGATACAATTTCAGATGAATGGTTACAAGCAGGATAATTTGACTTGATAATAAGACTTCTGGCAACTACTGCCATCTTTGAGTATTGAAAAATTGAAATTGATTATGGACTATTAGGCATGACGAAAGACGATGAGTTTTTGGAAGGAGTCTGTAGTTCATCGAAGTTTGAGACTTGGTGGATTAAATAAAAGACCCAGCAATCTGAATACATAGAATTTTCCTACCTTGCATGTGTACGGGTACAGTATGTTCTGGGCAAGGTTGGCAGTCGGCATTGAAGCATTGTGTCACTCCGTGTATGCATGCACATCTTTCACATGGACTGGTCTGCCATTCGTCACCATGGCGATATAACAAGCCGTTGTGAAAGCACTGAGAAGTCACAGGCACGCATTCTGGGCAGCAGGATCCAGGCTTGTGAATAAGCTTTTGATTCTGCAAAATTATTCATGGTTGAATACTCAAAATAGAAGGTAGATGAAAATACTTTTTAGTGAGGCCCACGGTATCGTAACGGTTTGCGTCGAGCAACCTTTTCACAACGTAAGTACGAGCAAAGACTGGAATTTCTCGAATTCCCAATGATACGAATTTTGCGAGATAAAGTAGCAATATGGAAGGCAAAAATGGTCTGTTTAGTCCGTCTGCTTTCAGCAAACTCTCATAAAAACGCTTGGCCATACATGTCTTTCGTGACCTCGCCGTATAAACAATTGGCGAAATACAAGCCCAATTTCCAATTTTTACGGATAAAGTCCAGTTGCATAAATAAATTCGAATCGGGTGAAAAAATATTCAACAACATTTTAAAGCTTACTCTTTCGCATGTTACTTCTGAGCATTGTAATTCGAAGCATCTGACAATTCCTTTGTTACAGGAACACATTTGACATTTGGTTCCGTTCCAGAGATCACCGTGGTAATGACGGACACCTTCATAGTCGCAATGAGCTGCAAATAAGCAAAGTAATATTACAAATGCGGATATATTCATTACCGTTTTTTATTACTCTTTGCGCAGACCAGTAAACAGTTACAGCGTGTACGCAGTGACAATCAGACGGGGTAACGAGATAACAACCTATTCTTCCTCTATGCCTTGGTGCGTGGATGTCCGTGTGATATGAATTCTCATTAAAAGCATTCAAAATCAAATAAACACCTCGTAATTTCATCCAAAGCGTGAAATTGAAAACCACTCTGGTCCGCATTTTATCCAATTGTACTAAGTACGAGAAGACAGCAATTTCGAATGACCGACATCCGATTTGGCTCAAAATTTCAGTTCGAACAATATAATTTACGTAAAACTCGATTCGGTTGATTGACAGGGCTACATCAGTATATAATTGGATTTGAGTTTTACCTGAAATTGTAGAATTTTGCCAAATTTTTAGTCCTATAATATCTAGGGTGTGGTGAATTCGTGCAGATTTTATTTCTCAAACTGAAATTTTACTGTTTTATTATTATTAAGGTAATAGCACTTTGCATTTGCGGGTAGAATTTCTAATATTTTTCACCTATTCAGTATTGTTCCAATACCTATTTATGCAAATTACAAACTATTCCAACTTTACAAAAGCCAGAGTGCAAGTGGCGCGTATTGCTAGATAACCGTCTATTATAGATAGAACAATAGACAGGAACAAAGTTATAAAGGCAATGTGAAGAGCAGTGATATATAGTGAACCTCGACACTACTATCTCACTGAAGCTTAGACCCAAAGGCCTAAGAAAGACGACATTTAGTGTTTGACCCAACAATATTTTTTTTTTTCCAAATTAATAATATATCATTTCTTGAGAACACAAATTTTGCAAACTTGAAGATCTTAAGATCAATCCTAACATTATAACCTTCGTAAAATTGGTAGCCAACGATAACAATCTCTGTAGAATGACCTTCCGAGTAATTGGCTGATAATAACCACGGTGGCAAAAATCAGATAGCTTTCTATATTTGACGTTACATCGCGTTATAAAAATAAATAATTTTACAAATTTCAACAATTTTCACCGATTCCCATATTTAAGTGTCAAAGGTGAATAATATTTTTTTTTTCTATGGTTGGTACGCTTATAACTATAGGGTTTATCAAAGGCATCTTGAAATTCCTTCTGCATTCTGCAGATATAAAAAAAGCGTTCCAATATGGAAGTAACTAATTTTGTTCGCCTATTTTACATCAGGTTGTGTAAAGGGACTAAACCTATGGGCAGGGGGTATCTTCACTTGGCTAACACAGCCAGTCCCCGAACTCGTAATAGAACTAAAATAAAAAAAAATCGGAATAAAATTATGACCTAATCCTAACCTGGTACACATACTACGGGAGTACCCACTGACCAGCGATCTACAGCGGTTGTAAACATTTCAATTTTTAATTGTTGGCGACACGTTTGCTATCTCTTCGTAAAAAAGTATTTGAAATAAATGTGTGTTGATGTATTACTATAACACTTCGAATACTTTTTGACGTCCAGTTTTTTTTAATTCATTGTACTTGAAATAAATGTGTGGGGGTTTTACTATAACATTCCGAAAAGTTATTGAACGTCCATTTTTTTTAAATTTACGGCGCCATCATCAATCAGTTTCGAAAAAATGGTCGAAAAAATAAAACAAACTCGTTGATTGAAACTTCAAAATTGTTTATTTTTCAGATTTTAACCTTAAAATCTAGATCAGAAGAAATTTATTTAACATGTCACCCTGAAACATGGGCAAAGTTGCCCTAAACTCACTTCTGGCCCGGTCCACTTAATACAAGCTATTATTATCTCATCAAGACTTAATCGATTTCATGAGACAATTAAGGGTCATACGTCACCGTAATATTCCGATATAAAACTCTGATTCCTCAATTTTTTACGAAAAAAAGATAAATTTATATTTTAAAAAATAAACACTATGCATAGCTTGTTAAACTTTCAAACTCTTCTCCCATACATAAGACTTGTTTACTTTTCAAATGTGAAACTTGAAATTCAGATCAGAAGAAATTTATACCATAATTTGCCCTAAACTGTCTTCTGACCCGATTCACCTAATACAAGAAATCATTGTTTCATCAGACGATAATCGATTTCACGAAACAACCTCTGGTGAAATGTCGCCACACTGTTCTTATTCTAATACCACCCATTCGTTTTGACAATTTTAATTCAAACTTCCATAAATAAATACTAAACATAGCGCTGCAAAGCTTCAAGCACTTATAAACAAATAATTGTTTAATTTTCAAATTTCAAGCATAAAATTCATATCAGAACGAATCAACCAAAAATGTCAACCTAAAACATGAACAAAGTCGCCCTATTATGATTTCTGACCCGATTCACGTGATATAAGGAATCAGTTTCTCACCAAAGTTTAATCGATTTCACCAAACAGTCTGAGGTGAAAGGTCGCCACAACATTTATACCCAATTCTTATTGAAATATTATCGACACGAATTTCGTTTTGCAAAACTTTTAAAAATAAACACAATACATGCCGATTCGAAACTTCAAGAGATATTCCTTCAAACCAAAATTCCTTTTTGTTTTTTGAATTTAAATCTCAAAATCCAGGTCGAAAGAAATTTATCTGATTTACCTAAGAACATGTTCCAGGTCGCCCTATTTTAACTTCTGACCCGGTTCACCTAATACGAGTAAACAATGTTTCATCAAGGAATAATCGATTTCACGAAACAACTGGGGTGGAAGTTCACCATAAAATTCTTATTTCGTTAAATATTCCAAGCTCTATACTATAAACGAGAAATTGTTTATTTTTCAAATTTTAACCTAAAATTCAGATCAAAAGAAATTTGTAACCCTGAAACATAGACCAGGTCGCCCTATTATAACTTGTGGCCCGGTTCACGTAATACAAGCAATCATTATCTCATCAAAGTATTATCGATTTCACGAAACCATCTCAGGTGAAATGTTGCTATAATATTCTAATTTCCGAATAATTTCAAATTAAACAAGAAAATTCAAATCGTGCTGCGTTCCGTGTTAGAATCCGACAAAGCAATTTTGGCAGCCAATACTGGACTCAAAAGATTTCGAAAGATTGTCGCAGGAATTTGATTTCCCGGGCAGAATGTCGCCATAATATTGTAACTTAAGGGTGATTTCAAATTAAACAAGAAAATCCAATTTGAATAGTATTGCGTTTCAATATAATTACTTTGTAGTTGTATTGAATACCTAATAACTGATTTTGAGTCCAAAAAATGGAGTGGCGACTGGGGTGCTTGGGATGGCAACGGTTTGATTCCAATAACGTAACGCAATAATAGTATATCAAATTTAAAGGTACTACCTCAATGAAAATATAATAAATAATATATTTCCAAATCAAGATTATGATTTTGACTTAAATTCAGAACAATTCGGGTAGCTAATGCCGAGCCCAGCAGGCTCAGGTATTTTTAAATAATCAGTAGTTCTATTTCTTTGATTGGCTATGTTCAAATGATGAAAATGTAAAAACATATAATCTAGTGAAATAGTCCTTTTAGTTACATTATGCTGCAAAATTTCAGTTAAATTTACTACAGGCGACATCTTGACATCTATTATTGCAGCGTAAAGGTGATTTTAAATGTAATCGTGACGTATCAATACCAAATTGTTTTGGTTTTGAAGACAGGTTCAAGATGAAAACATGATCAAAGAATGCCGGTGTTATCGGTGTTTGTATACATACATGATGCGATGACAAAGGCTCTAAAACTACAGTGATACTTTTGTCGCTCCAGAAGTATGAAGGTAACTAATTTTGTTCGCCTACTTTACATCAAGTTGTGTAAAGGAATTGAAACTTATTCACTTGGCTAAAACAGAAAGTCCCCGAACTTGTAATAGAACTAAAGAGAGCTACGCCCAAATATATGGACACGTCTGTTCGCAGTACAGTACGGTTTACCGTACTGTCAGTGTCAGATCACAGTCTACAAATATATTCACACCAAGCGAAGCAGTACAGTCGGACACAAAATGGCGTCGGATGTCCGCAGAACGTTCAGTGACGTCATAGCAAACAAAAACAAATCTCACCGAGCTAACAGAAATATTTGAAATAAATAAAAGTAATAGCCTTCTGAAGAAAAATTTCATCTTTAACCACTAAAAATTTCAAAGCAATCGGTCCAGTAATCGAAGAGAAAAGCGTTTTTTTAATATTTCCACTAGGTGTCCAAAAAGTGTCAAAGAACAACTAGAACACCAAGCACAACATAACAACAAAACGATCGTTATGTCCACTAAACGTGTCCAATAAGGAAAATCGGAATAAAACTATGGCCTAACCGTAACCTGGTACACACACTACGGGAATACCAAAGCTTGTACACTTATATTTTACAGTAGTGAAATTTTCATAGTAGGAAATTTTTAGACGAGTTCATCCGAGCAAGGCAATAAAGGAAAACATAAATAAATAACACAGGTTGCGTGTTAAATCATGTTTCACATTTTATATAATTGTCTGCTGACCTTTTGCCACCCAAAATTTGTAGGAACAGATAACTTTCACAGCTGTACAAATGTAAATGATTCTTAAAAATTATTTCGTGTTGTATTGGTTCTTATTCGCTTCAAGCTTGATAAGTAGATATTATCTCTGGCCGACGTGAGACAGAAGAAAATTTAGCAAAGTTTTTTCTATCAATTTATTTGACTGACGACTTGTCATCAGCGTGGTTTACACTCCCTTTGTTATCACACAATGTACATTGGATTTCCTTTGATTGAGTTTTTATATCAGTTTATGCGGTCATAACGCTGTGTAATTTTCATTGTGATGCGACAATTAACAGACAACAAGTGACAAGTCTATCGTGTGAAACCGGACGACATGTAAGATTCGGTAATGACGTAATATATACTACTATTGTGTAACAATGAGAAACTTTGAGAATCGAAAAGTGCCTGACAGAGTTCCTTTTATGGAGGAAATTCGGATAGATATTTCAATTATTCTTGGGTTTTCTGTTAAATATTTATACCTTTAAAGTTCCTCGAAGTTAAATGCAAATCTGCTTTGCCGGATAAAGTTTCCATTAAATGATTGGAATCCGGATTGCTTAATATATTATTTTTGTTTTTTGTTGCACCTGCAGTGTTATATTTTGTACTCCCGCAAGTCTTATAATTTTAACTAAGCTTTTTCAAGTTTTCCTGCAACATTTTGCAAAAAAAAAGTGGTAACTCTAATCTAATAACTACCTTGGGATGAAACGCAGTCGGGGCAACATTCTTCTTGTCTTGTTACTTTTACTTCTCCCGATCGACATTCATGATGAGAACCGTCCAATGTTTCTTCGTTGATGACGTCACAACTGGTTGTGTGACAAGTGACGTCACCATTTAGACATGTACAATGACGACATGAATCAGGTTTGAACTGTTCCCCTGATTTGTACTGCTTTCCCTGAACATTGAAAATTTTATTTGAGATATAATGTTTTGGAGTTGACATAATTGAAAGGTATGCTGAAAATCATCTTTTCTATTACACACATTATTTTAGATAAAAAATAGTACTCTAATAAATTGTGGATTATAAGTTACGCACGTGCCTTTTATGTAGACGTAATCCTACTCAACTTAAAATTTACATTGCAGAGTCAAATCTCAATATAAACCCCGGTTGCACAAAATGCATTACTACTAGGCTTGGAGGAATTGGTGATACAAAACCAATAAAATTAAAAAAAGAGAGATATTCGGAAAATCGAATCTGAGAATCCTTCATCTCATTCGAGCAATAAGAGCGTTGGTGGTGGTTAGAGTACTAGACTTCTCAGCAGTCCTAATATACTATGTATTGATATTTATGATTTGAATAGTTCAGCAACGACACAGTTTAGGGTTGGAATGTGGAACTCCTCACGAAAGAACGCCTCTAATACCTTAACTATATATATTGATGTACTAACCTCTGATATGCAGGGGGCTCCAACACATTGAGGGCAGCATTGGTCAGGCAGCAGAACAGATCGTTGACTCGGTGGACAAACAACTGGTTCGCAGTGTGCGATCTGGTAGTTGATTTCACCTGAATGTTGGTAAAATTCTTCGTTAAAATACTTGTTAAAAACCAGTTTTAGCTTCTTAGAGTTCTTTTCACCCATTAATGCCGGTTTGGATACATTTTGTTTTTGCATAATGAACTTATTTATATTGTTAAAATTATATTACATAAAATTTGAGCTCAGTTTTGTCGTGTGCATGTTCCTTAGAACTTAACTTATTTTGGTATTTCTAAGGACGTTGACAGATATTTTAAGTTTGATTGTTTCAAAATATTGGCCCAACCTACGTTTATTAGACAGTTCAACATAATTACAACAATATTTGATATAACTGATTTCAATTTTCGCTATTTTCAGTTAAAAGGGTATTTGAGGTTGAAATGGAGTATTTTTGACATTGTGGTCTTTTTCATTGAGGTGTTTATGAGGAAAAGAAGTCCTATCGTTCTCTCATATAATGAGCAGCATCAATAATGCAGAAGGTAGAGCCAAGTCAGAATTTGAATGTTACATAATTCATGACAAAGATGAAATGCTTCCAACATAGAGACTTCGTTGAGCTTAAGAAGTCGACAGGAAAGTTCCACGTGATTCCGATTCTAAGAATGGCGACGGTTTTGGATTTCAAGATATTGATCAAATCATTCTATACTCCTTGACAGATAGTAATCATAGACATAGTCCCTGGAATAAATTATCTATGGAATTCTATCAGCAATAATATAGAACTACCGTGTTTCTTCGAAAATGGGTCTAATTTCAATTTTCTTCCGAAAAATACACTAACGCTTATTTGGGGGAACGTCTTTTATTTTCAATTATCAAAAACAAAATTACAAAGTAGAAAATTACGAAATTTTTGAATATACAAAATATAAAAACCGGTATCCATTTACTTGTATATAACACGCTTTTATCGACTAGGTCTTATTTTAGGGGGAAGATTATAATAAAATCATTTTTTAATTTAGGCGAGGTCTTATTTTCGGGAAAACATGGATAATCATGTCAAAAATTGGTCTGTTTCATACAAAAGGCGGTCAAATACGCTCAGAATCTTACCGTTGCTGCATTTAGCTCTTTCGCACTTTGAAGGAGTCCAAACGTCGCCATCTCGGTAAGTTACATCGTTGTATTTACAAGAGGCTGCAAAAAGAAAAGCAAACAAAATGAAATATAACTTTAACTTGTCCGAACAATTTAGTGTTTGCTTTAAACAAAAATATCTATTTCAAAGTTCGGTTCATTAAATATTTTAGGAAACATCCAAAATATTAAATCCAAATAAACCTGTCACTAAATATATATCAAATATTCATCGGTAGCTGTTTATCAATAACATGATTGTAAAAGTCAGGGTCCTTTTTTGAACCAGAAATAACCTGTTGAATACGGATTCGATTTTTTTAATGACTGGTAGGTCGAGTCGAGTGAAATTTTCTTCGTATGAACAACCCCGGGTCTGCTTAACTGCATTTCTCGGTGCTGTTGCTTTGAATTATTAATGACCACTTGATGTCAGTGGTAGGACATTTGAAATAAATTACCTAACAAAACAAATAAAGGGGAATTCCCCGGAACGAAAAATTTGTTTACCTCCGGTGCTGACACATTTCTGACAGCAGTCACCCGGTCGTTTCCATGGTAATTCTCCATATCCGCATTGTAGGTCAAGGTTGCAGGTCAACGGCGAACACTGGATGGCACCATTGTTACATGCACATTCAGTGCAGTTACTCCCTTTCCAATGTGTGTTGTGCTAAAATGAAGAAAAATAAAAGTACAGTTTTATTTCGGAGCTATGCCTAATTCTCTTTGATATAAATCCCAAACGAGTAGTTCATTTTAAGAGGTTAATTAAAAATTCACTGTAAGATATAGTTGCGAACATGCTACAAAGCTGATGAACCAACATAAAATAATGTTTTATATATGATAATTACAAGGTATTGCTTAAAGTTTCCACTTGATATCATGTTTAGCTTACATAAGGTTGGACAAAGAAAAAAGTGCAATGCTTTCATTTGGTATACATTTTATTGGGATCTACTATACATACAAACCAATCAGCGAATAGCATATTTGTTCTGAGATGAATTTATAAATGTCAGAACAAAATCTAAATGTTATATTTATAAATAAACTCACCGCTACAACACTTCCATCCTTCAGACACGATCTTCCTTGTTGTTTTGTGCATTCCGGACAACATTTGTTTGAGGGTATAATAAGTGATCCTCCCTGAAATAAGCAAAGTTATAAAAAATATCCATTTATTACCAGAGAAATCAAATCTTAAATATGCGTTGTGCTGTCATTTGTTTAACGTTGAGAATTGAGACGTTATTATTAAGTAGTCATAATTACCTTAGTGACGTCACATTGAGGGTCTTTACATTTTTCTTTATGACAAATAATTATGTGATTATTACATGAACAAGTGGTGCAGGAATCTTTTCTCCATATAGACGAATTCTGAAAAACATAATCAAATGCACAATTTTAGCAAAATATTGAAAAAGTACATTTGCAAAGTTTGAATATTACGTCATTTGTTCGGTAATAATTGCAAAAGAAAATATTATATTTTTCTTATCCACAACGTCATAATGGCATACTCAATCACAACTGATACGATAGCAAAAATGCGGGAAAGTCTTTTTCATTTCTTTGGTACGTCATAAAAACATTTGTTCGATCATAATTAGTAGATACCGGATAGTAATTAAGACACATATTCAGTCTGACCTCCGTTTAAAAGACAAAAACTAGTAAATTACAAATCGACGATAAAACCATGCCAAATTTGGCGGATAAATAAAGAATGGTCCTTAGCAATACTTCATCTATGGGATTTGCTTGGACACGGCAGATGGGTCGGCAAAGTTATTGCAATGCTGATAGGAAATGTTGGATACTTAATGGACTAGAATTACAGTTTTTAGTGAATTTGTGTGCGATAATTGAAGAGTTTTTAAAAGCTTACACTTTAAATTAAGTGATTACGGTAATGAAATGAAAGAATTTTACAAATGAGAGAGAGAATAATCACAAAAAGGAGAATGCCTCAACGAGTAAACGCACTTTTGCCAGTGCGATGTAGTGGGATTGTGCCATGAAATAATAGCATTATTCTATATTTAAATAACTAAAATGTATATAAGCTTTGAAAATTTCAAAGTTTAGATTTGCAAGATCGAACGAATAACTCGAAAGGCAACATGATTTTATTCCGTACTTTTTAAATACGCGTTCGCGGCGTGGTCATAGAATAATATAATATTTTATAATTTAATAAAGTAACTTAACTTAGAGTTTCTAATTCCAATTTTTATGACCAAATTACAATATCATTGCTGGAGAGGGCCCCTTAATTTGTACTTTATAATATAATCAGGAACATGGCTCACGAATTACAATGTTCAATCCTATTATTATTTATTATTCTGTCTTTCAGCATATTGGTTCCCATATCCCAAACCACATGACACATATGTTGGTTATTTACTCAACTTGAAAATATTGAGATACCGCGACCGGAATTTGGCTTTTCAAACACGACCCTTGACCCCTGGGCAAAACCAATAAAATTCATACCAGGGCCACGTTTGAGTTTATAAACTTGATTTCACAAAAATACCGCAGATACCGGAACACTTGAAATTTAAAACCGTAAAGCCGGACTACAAGTGACACAGGGTTTACAAAGTTGAACGTGTGAGTAAAAGGAAGAATAAAAATAACCCCGATATGAGAGTGATACAAGTACTGCAACATGTGTGGACACCGTAGTTATGAATACATGGTAGTTAACACGCTACTGACCATATAGAAGAAGCTTCTGATGAGGAATGTCAAAAATGGCCAAAAATGGCCACTGAACCAGCCGTCATTGTTTATTGCTAAGAATTGAGAGTTTTGGCAATATTTTTTCCTATACAAACATACACAAAATGCCTTTAAGGCGGGCCTGGACTTGGTAATCACACCGGCTGGACAAGTCGAAATATATTTTTTATTGCATTTTAAATCGATTTAAGCATGAAACGTTTAAGAAAGGCACTTTCTAAGGCCAATTTGATCAATGCTCCATAGCTGCCGAAGGCAAATTGACTATATATACTCTTATTCTCTATATGAGTTTGCTCACTGTATTGAGCATAACTTTTAAATGGCTAAGCATATAGATACAGACTTAATAAAAATTCCTCACTGTCGGTGGCTCGCAATTCACAATTACATCATGGCTTATGTCAACGAAACGATATTTTTATGTTTCTCGAATTAACACACGTTAAACGAAACGATATGTACTCTGTGAACGTAGATTCATGTATTCTGTCACACTGGAACGCGGATGTAAACGAAACAATATGAAACATATCTTGGTTTAATTTACGCGAACGAAACGCAATTTTTTGACGACATTTACGCCCGCCTTGGTATGCGGACGCAAACGAAATAATATAATTGCTGGAGCCGACGTCTCCGAAATTAATTTGAAATCTGCATCGACTGCTCTTGTTTAAAGCCACTTATCTATATGATATGGGTGAATGTGCGTGCCTGACAGACTTCATAAAAATATATGAATATCCAAAAGAGACAAATATTGCGTACGTAAGCAACATTATTAAAGATATCTGGCTTATCTATATCGGCGTTAATAATAATTTGCTACTGTTTACACGCGGCCAAAAATGTGAGTGAAAGGCAATTAAGTCCCACGCGCAATTAATCAAAATGTATTGCAAATATAATTCTCTTGATATTACGAAATTCTCTTGTTTATTAACTTATGACATTCCATTCTCGTGTGACCTCTAAATAACCTTGCTGTTATAGACTGGTTGTCTATTATTTGCTCATAAATATTGTCAATATGACGTAACGTTTTAAAAATAAATTCGACTAAAATGACATGCGCACCACTGATGGTATATAAATTTAACACTAACAATATACATCGCGTAATCGAAACCAGTCAAAATCAGAGTTGACAAAATTTCTCGCCTGTTGTGACCGCAAGAAAAACCAAAATTGAAACGTTTTAATAGTTTCGGCGCCGCAGGTAATCCCTGTATCATAGTATTCTCACGTTTCATCGATTCATCTTTATTTCTGTTCATTTTATTGGGATAGCTTGATTCATGTGGGCTGACTAAAGTCGAAATTGGTTACCGTGGTAAACAAATGGTGATAACGAGAAACTAGTAAAGTGATTCATAGGAAACGACTGTTAATTCGAAGGCTTTCCAAGATTTGATGCATTGCACGACAAAAGAGTGATGGACGGTGGATTTATTTCAAAGCTGTTTTTCTTTATATTAAAGACTCTCGACGCTTCAATGCACCAGAAACTTTGTTCAGAGATGCTTCTGAGTGAGGGCTTGTAACCTTTTTTTTTAAATAAATAAACGGTTTTATACCAGAAATACTTTTTAGCGTTACTTTTTACTTTTTTATAATTTTTAGCGTTATTCTTAGTAAAAAATATTTACTTTGAATCTTTCGTGTTTACTATATAATTTTAACATAAAAATTCGTCATTAAATTTCAATTTACAGAGTTGGCGTGTTCTAACGAAAGTCACATTTTCAACTGTCGCCCAACAATGCAACATTCATATTTATAGGGTCCCAAACACGAGAATTCAGTTAGGAATATTTACAGAGAGCTTATAAGGCTATCTTAATACAAAAGCCGTAATCTGTCTACTTTTTTATACCAAATAGTTGAATTGGATTAGAAAGAGGAAATACTATCTGGACCGGGCCAAAGATAGATTCACCTGAAAATGAAAACCAAATATGGTCCATATTTGCAATATTTAATCTAAAATTTGCTTTTCGGACTAGATTAGATCTCTAAGGATTAATGTCATCGCGTTATGGACACTTGAATGTTTTCTACTATTTGTTAAAGGCTTATGTAGCAAACTGGTATTTTAAAAAATGTTAAAACTTCTGTGAAGGTTTGCTTGAAACAAACGTCATTGATGAATTTGGTTATCTTACAACCGTCTGCCATACACGCAATATTTATTTGGTAAGGTATTTCTCTTGTATTGAAACAGAAACAACTGAAAGATAAAACATGACGTAATCGCAACATAGGTTCCGAACTCAAGGTTGATTCCAATTCCTACTTAAAAACCAAGGCTTGAGTTACACATCTGAGTAAATAAGCTTATGCTACGATAAAGAGTACATTGAATCTTGTGGGCTTTTAATATCCATTTATTATATATTTCAAAATAAAACGATTACTTAGCCAAGTACACGGTTTTACACAACGTGGTAGTTCAGTATTGCAATGCCCGCGTCATTTTTTTGAATCTACCTCCTGTAGTATATAACGCTAAGAGTGAAGTTGCCACGGAAAGACGAAAATTCGAAATGGACTGCCTGACCCAGCTATACTCGCGCACTAAAGTCATGAGACATTTATAGCCATAGCTGAAGTGACTAAAATTCGAATTTAAATTGAAAAAAACTGTATTCGTGGGTACATCAAACCAATTTCACCTCGCATTAAATTTTTTTGCAGTTCTCAGAATTGGAATAAGCGACGCTCGGAAAGAATGTCAAATCCCGGATTATAATTCTATTCTCAGATTCGCCACACGCACAAACAGGCTTTTATCCCAAATCCACTCGAGATTTTTAAGGATTACCCGTCACGCTACCGCACTCCAATGTCAACATGACACAATATTTGACCTTGTCGAAGGTCATATATTCTACTCCGATGAGTGGTTTAATATAGAAAAGAAGCGTTGGTCTTAACATGCATTCAAATCCCATTCCCATCACCTTACCCAAAGTGTAATAAACGGCGCTCCAGAAGTATATGTACCAATATGGAGGTAACTAATTTTGTTCGCCTACTTTACATCAAGTTGTGTAAAGGAACTGAAAACTATGGGCAGGGGTTATATTCACTTGGCTAACACAGACAATCTTCGAACTCGTAATAGAACTAAAATAATGACCTAACTCTAACCTGGTACACACACTACGGGCATACCTAATAAATTATGTGGGCATTGCCGAACCGTGAAAATTACGATTATATATGGTTACCTCTTACTTGGTCGTCGACAGCTTGTGTAGAGCCTTGTTCGAGGTGAAAGTCGTATAAAACGATATTAGTCAGTGTTATAAAACGTCATAGTTAGTCATATATAACGTTGTACAAATATATGGCGACGTGTCAACTATAAGTCATATGTACAAATAGTTTCTAACCAAAAGACTTGATAAGAACTTTTCGAATGTTTAGTTACTTGTTGTGTAACAGACACTTCGTCGACTTGAAGACGATTGAAAATAGACCCAATTCTTGCGGCACAATAGAACACGTCATCGGAATTCACAGCTGCCCAAATTTATTCCGAAACCCTTGTTGTGACGTCATAGTTGATAAGGTTTCCCACAATGGGTTTATAAGTGTCCAATTGTTTATACAATCGG